GTACTATTGTCAACAGCATATTCAGCACAAGCCGCTTAAAAGACACTTAACTCTGCTACTCATTTTGTTTCTTATAAGCGGGAGCTTTCTTTAAAAGAAAACTCGATTTTTTATAAAAGGTAAAGGTACAAAATTTTTTTTTAATCACATAACAAACCAAAAACTATTTTCGAAAATATAGATAGTTTCCCAGAACATCGTCAATCCGGCGATCATGTCAACCATCTCAATAATTTTCTCTTTGTAAATGAATGTCATATTTTGTAAATGGCAGGCAAAAACAAGAACTCTTATGCTATAGCTGATGTTTTATAATTTATAAATAAAAATCTCTTTTTTTTTTACTTGTTTTACTTTTGTACATCAAATTAGTCATTTTTAACAATTAGTTTTTGCAAATGCAGCAACCCACATAAATGCAAAAAAAAAGTCAAAAAACAACTTACGTTAGCAGCAAAAACTAGAATTCATGACGCTAGAGTTAAAAATGATTGGAGTTAATGCCGTTTTGAAATTTTGTTCAAATAACGTTCTTTTGGAATTTTCATAATTTTGTGCAAATGACATTGTTGCGAATTGGAATACTTAATATATATATTAATTAATTTTAAATTTTATTTCATTTTGTTCTAATTTGGTTTCTGTTTAGGCTTATACATGGATAAACTTCTATGCTGTGAATAACATTTTTGACGTCATAGTGAACGCTTATAAGACAATTTCTTTTAAATGAGCAAAAGGACATTGAAATTAATTGGAGAGAATGTTTATTTTATAAAGTTTGTTATAACCAGGCTATACTGTATTACACATTCAATCACACACACTTACAAAATCTTTCAAATATAATGTTAAATATTTTACGAATTGCTATTAGAATAATTATTTGCAATATTTTGTTTATTTATTTTTAAACAATGAGAATTTTATGATCCTGCAGAAAATTGATGCTTTCAGAAGGAATGATGTTTAAGTTTAAAATAACTAAAATTTTATTTATATTAATTTTATTCCAATTTGCTTTTTAAGAAGTAAATTAACGCAATTGAATGCATTATACTTATTTATTAATTACCATATAATAATAATAATTTTAATTTTCACTTAATAATTAATTTATAATTTTGACTCATAAATGCTATGCGATGTTTATTGCGATGCAATTTCAATGAAATTTCCAAAATGATTTTTATTCAATTTCTTTATTTAATATTTATAATATTTATAATTTCATTGTTCAAGCTCGTTTTTTTTATTTTTTACAGATACATTGAACATCAATAAGCGCAAATCATTATTATTCCACATAATTTTTCTTATTTGTACCAACATTATTAACCAATTGTTCAAATTGGCTACACTTTCTGCTTCAAAATATTAACAATGCAAAAAAACAAACCAAAAACAAACATTTTTGCATTATGCATAAAAATAAATCTGAACAATTTTTACTTTTCAGTTTCATAAAAATGAAATAGAGAAAAAATTGAAAACATAAAACAAAAGAAGTTTAAATGAAATTTTATACAAAAACGTTATTAATGTTATTAATATTATGTAAAAATTACTATTAAATTTAATTTTACGCTTTAAATTGCATGCAATTGCAATTATTCACTAAATTTCACTTTTATTTTTGATATGGTGTGCATACATTTATGAATTTCGTATATAAATTAAAAATACGTATATGAAATTTAATATATTCATATTGTGGTAAATGCAATTTAATTTTCCCCTAAATGATTTACAAATTGATGATCTTATGACCCTGTAGCTTCTTATTTTATTGCTCATTGAATTGGTTTTTAAGTTAATTTATAATAATGCGAAATCGTTATGGAAGTATTATTACTTGAATTTGGATCAAAAATTAATAAAATATTAAGAATATGAATATTTATTTTGCAATCTAATTTGTGCTGTTCATTTTGAGATATGAATTTTGTTATTAGGTTTTTATATCCGTACGAACGTATGTTCGAAGGGTATACTAAATTTGCCATATAAGCTAAAGTATATGTTTTTGATCAGCATCGAATTCTGAGTCGATTTAGCTTTGTCTGTCCGTCTGTCCGTCCGTCCGTCCCAACTATAACTCAACAACTAATTGAGCTAAGTTCTCCAAATTTTCACAAATGGTTTACAGTAATTAGTGCCAGAACCCTATTTAAATTGGATATGATCGGGGTACTAGTTCGGGTAGTTCCCATACAACTCTAAAAATTATTTGACTTTATCTTAAAAACTATAAAAGATTTGTTATTAAAATTTCATACAAGTAAATATATTAGTAGGACCAATGTGTTTGATAAATTTCGTTGAAATTGCTTGGCTCTGTCTGGGAGCAGCCATAAAACTTCAATAGTAGTTTGGCCATATCTTAGAAAAAATTGGAAAACGCATTACTGAAATTTTGCATAAATTAATATGGTAATACGACAACTTAAAGTCATAGTCTGTCCCACAGTCAGGTAGGGCATATTTATTCGCACATAGGATAGCAAATTCGTACGGATATCACAGATTTGGCACAGTCAACTCTATTTTTTCTCGTTTAATATAAATTTTATGGTTATCTGTAAAATATTAAATTTTTATTCTACATATATCCAAATATTCCGTGTCATAAATGCTTTATTTTTTCTTTATTTTATATTTCAGATTTTTGTTTTATATACATATGTAATATGTATATACGATATGATTGCAAATGATTTTGCATTAACTTATATCATCAGTTTCATTAATACTGCAGATATCGTAATATCAAACATATCACATTTTGTTAAAAAATTCTATTTGAAATTTCCATTTAAGAGATCGAAAGAAATTTTCAAACGAAAACAAAAAATTTTGTGAATCACATAATGTAATCAAAATTTACGATCAAAGAAACAATCAAAGATATTTTAAATTTTTAACTTAGAGATAAGGTTTTACCTCATATGAAAATATTCATATTGCTTATATACCTAAAAAATAGTTTTATTTATAGAATAAGAATTTTACGGTATATGGCATTTATCACAAAGTTGTTCTTATAATGTAAAAAAAAAGAGTTAAACTAAAAGCAAATGTGCAAAAACTATTCAAGGTAATTAAAAATTGTAAAAAAAAGAAAGTCTAAAGCGGTCGATAATAAGAAAAAGTTTATTACGAATGTCTTAAAGACACGAGATTATATACAGATAACAGTATAACACAAAGCGCAAGGCGGCATAAGAGTTCTTTATTAATGTTAGATTTAAATATTTTAATCATGAATAATTTAGCAAAAATAAGCGTAAATGTATTTCATAATATTTTATAATCTAAACTATAGGATCATAATTAACTAATTTTTCATCATTGAAATATTTTAAATTTAAAATCTGTAAAAGTGTTACTTCTTACATGACAAACTCACATAAATAATAATGTAGTAATAGCCGTGTAGTATCCAATTCATTTAATAATATCAAATAGAACAATTTTTCAATTATAAACAAACATGATACATTCATTACATACTAATGTATAGTAATAATGTGTTTTTCCGAAATATTCAACATACATACCAACAACATTGTATTACGACAATCAACACAACAATGTTTACACAATATTTTTAGCAACATTTCTTGAAGAAAAAAAAGTAAAAACAAAATAATGAAAAAAAAAATCTTATTTGAACAAGCGCAATTTATTATCGACATTATTTTTTTTCCACGGATGGAATTAATAAAATCTAATTCATTAGTTGGAAAATAAAAGTTGTTGCATTCAATTTGCATAAAGTTGAATTCAATTGCTCCCCTGTTAATTTTAATAAGATGTGACAACGCACCGCCACTCAAATGGGATCAAATATCACTTCATTTTGCTAAGGAATTTTTAAATAAAATAAACTTTTTGCTAAGGAATCCAGCCTGATGAACTCGAGCGAGTTCCGTAAGAGCATTATGTTTAAAAAGTAAAAATTATTATTCTACATTTTTCCAAAAGCTCCACTCTCATTTACACAAAACCTGAAATTACTTATTAACAGTAACTACTAACTATTCTCATTATTAAATATTAAAGTTAATGAAAATGAGAATTGTAGTTTAACAATAAAAACCCCTAAAAATTGGGCTTTTATTGCCCAATTTTTAGGGGTTTTTATTGTTAAACTACAATTCTTTTTCAAAATTTATTCCCATTTCGTATTTATTGACGCGAACCATAATTCTTATATGAAATTGTGTGTGGAATAAAACAATACCCATCTTATTTATCATATTGCCGTTGGTAAAAAATAGGAAAGCAAAAACATAAAAAAAAAAAAAATAAAATTAAAAGTGTCTTTGACATTGACTGAGCTAAACCAGTAATCAAAGTAGAAGAAGAAGAAGCAAAGAAAAAAACAAAATAATAAAAACAAAAATTTGTACTAGTTAATTTTTCTTTGGTTAAAGAGATCAACAAAATATGTAAGAAAACTTTTTTTTGTATAGTATTCGTATTGGTATGGTACATTTTGCTTAGAACACTGAAAGCTTTCAAAATTGCAGTAGGTAAAACAGTTAACTCGAAATATAAAAATAAAAAAACAAAAATAAAATAAAAATAAAAGTTAAAATTTTTCTTAAGTTTTTATTCGCATATTTACAACAACATTTAGTCAACAATTTAAGCCGTGGCTTATATTTAGGTATAGATGACTTAGCCGTCGCATAATAATTTTTTTTTTGTTTTTCGTTCTTTTTCATCTACTCCGTATTTTCATTTATTTGTAAAGCTGTTGATTGAAATTTTGTTGAAAGCAACTTTTTTTTACATTTTTTTATTTTTGTTATTTTCATTTTTTTTTTTATAATAGTATAGTACTTACTCATATGAATGAATGTATGTATAGTATATTATAATTATATAGATTATGTGTATTAGATATTAATAGAAGAGCAGCCTATTTTGTAAAAACTTATACGGTATATTTTGAATATTTTTAAATTTAATTTCGCTTTAACAGTGAAAGAGCGAACACGTATAAATTAGCACGCGTTTTAAAAATTATACTTTTAATATATAAAAATTAAATTAATTTATATTTTTAATTAAAACATCTTATAAATAAAAAATTTCAATTAATTGAAAAATTATTATTCTTCGTTTAACAGCGAATATTCGAAAAAGTAATTTAATTTTATTAAATAAATTGTTTTATTTTTATTTTTTTGAATTGGAAACATTAGTGTTTGTTATACAAAAGAACCGTTATTTTGGTTTTATTCTTTAATACAAAAAAGGAAAACATGTAAAATAAGAAAAGTTTGGTTTTTGAATTTCGAAAAAAAAGTGATAATTTAATAAGCAAAACAATAATCAAAAATAACATGAAGAATATTTTAAAGATTTTTTTGAAATAATTTTGGAAAATTTTTTATTATAATTTTTTTTTTTGAATTTTTAAAATATTAATTTTGGAATAAAAGTGAATTTGAATTTCTTGCAATTTTCAAAAATAAAACAATCAAAATTTAGAATGTACTATAATTTTTATGATACTCTTAAACAATTATATTTTATGTTCAACTCATTTAATTCATAATCGGGTTAATAAAAATCAAATTTATACTTTAATCTATATAGAAACATTTGGCGAAAGATTAGAGTTTTTGATAAGCGTTTATTTTTTTTCCCATTCTCTATAGTTCTGTATATATGTATATATGTATATGTATATAGCTATTTACTTTACACATACTTACTACACATAAATTTGCATGAATTTTTGAAGGAATTTTTGTTAATTTTATTTTTTGATATAATCAAATAAAAGAAAATTAAATTGATTTGAAGAGGAAAAAATATATTAAAAAATTATTTGATAAATTTTATAAAATAGCAAATTATTGAATACTTAATGATTATAATATACAAGAAGACATAAATACAACTATATAATAAAAGTAATTAAGTATAAAAAAAAAGAAAACAAAACATTTATTTTTGTTCTAATAAAAGTTCCGAAATTAATAAACAATACTGTTATACAGCACAAAATTAAATTTAATAAATGAATTAGCATTAAAAAAATTTCTTTTTGTTATATTTATATGATTCAGTATAACAGTTTATAACAGGTATAACAGTTTGCAAACGGATTTGTATTATAGGCATTTATAAAAAATGTTTAATAATTATTAAAAATTAAGACGTTTTACGGGATCTTCTTCATAATTTACTTTGTAGTATAATTTAATATGGAGTTTTGTTATATTTTAGTATTTTATTTCGAAAACTTGTTCTCATATTATAAAATCAAATTGCTTATACACAACAATCTTAAAGTAAAAATATGTTGGTTTGAAATAACGAGTGCATTTTAATAAATTTAATTTTTTGGGAATTTGACAGTGAATTTTAATATTAAATTAAAATTACATTTCTGTTTATAAAAATTTACATGTTTCAGTTCTATGTTTTTATTAAAGCTTTTGCAGTACTGTCTTAATCATTTAATTTCATATTATACAAATGTTATTTGCTATTCGAAAAAATCTTTCATTTTTTAAAAACTAATTTCGAAACTGCTATTCTTAACTTCGAAAATAATATTTGTAATATCGAAAATAACATAAAAAATTTTCTAGTGAATTTCAAATTTTAAAATAAATTTAATTATATTATGTACATGCAAGTATGAATACTTAATCATTCTTAGAGTCATCATCAAAACAGGTGTTCAAAATAAAAAGATTTGACTGTATTAATATTTTAGTACAATACGTAGAAGGTTAAATATTATTAATTTCAATACTTAACTAAATGTTAAATAAAAAAACTAATATGCACATAAACATATACACATACTACACTAATACTTAATGTTACACAAAAAAATTAATAAGGGTAAAAGTAAGTTTAATTAAAATTTTTGAAGAAACAAAAAAAATACAAAAAGATTTCATCAAAAATAAATTTGAGAAAAAAAATAATTAATTTTATCGACACCTTGTATGTACTTTTTGCATTAACTTGATATACAATTAGGTACGGATTTATATAACCGTTTCAAAAAATTAACTAATGCACAACACAATATTATTTTTATACACATACTCGTATGTACATATACTCAGTTAAATAAATAAATAAGTCGTTATAAATATTTTGAATACACCGTTATAATTTCTCATGCAATTTGAGTACAAGCAATTATGTATTTGATTATAAAATTCCTATAATAATCTTCTATAATTATTATTATTAATTATTACATATTATCATCATTTACATAGATAATGTAACAAGTAAATAATTAAGTATGTACATATTCATAGTGTATAAAAACAATAATTTATATGATGAAACTATTATAAAATTCATTACAAGTCAAATGAAACTTATTTTATTATATCGATACACGCAGTATAAATCGCTTGAAATAAACTCTTTTGAAAAGAAGAGAAATTACATGAAAAATGTTTATTTCCTAGTCTCATATATGTATACAGTATATTTTCGAAGAACAGATCTACGAAAAAGACTTATTTCAGAACTTGTATAGCAAAATAAATTTCCTTCTCTTTAATCTCGATTTATTTGGAAATAGATGCTAAATTTATTATTTCAAATTATTTAATGTTTAGGACCGTACAATTAGATACAAATTGATTGTATACATAATGAGTAATATAGAATAAAATCCAATAAAGCCCTTTCGAAAACTTCATTTCCAGAAAATTTTTTTATGAAATTCGAGTATTTACCATCCATGAAGCTCAATTTTTCAGAGAAAAATCTATGGACTTATTTTCTCAGTAAAGGGATATATATATATAAGTATATCATATAAAATTTCAAGTAATTTCTAACATTATGAACTTGGATACAATGTAATTACTTCTAAAATTTCAAACGTACCCCTAGTAAAAGTACAGTCACCGAGACCTAATATGCACTAAAAAATTTAATCAATTTATTCATTAACATATTAATCAATTCGCAAAAGAAACGTATTTACAGACTGACATTTTGTCAAAAATAGTTTTAATACAATTTTCGAATGAAAGTTCATTTCCTTTAAAAAAAATTTGACTTTCGTTGAAAATTTGAAATTTAATTCCATCACAATACCATTATTATATTGTGCAATTCGATCAGCAAAAATTGTAGACAAGCACATTGTTGTGTACCAAACAAAAAAATAACTGTGTTGTATAGCTTTGAGAGAATTAATGAAAAAATTTTCAGTCATCCTGTTTCAAGGAAACTTTAATGAATTTGTCTTGAAATAAACACGATATGGGCAAAAATGAAGTTTATTTTAAACGGGTTGTACTGTAATACATGCATCAAATATTTTGGATTTTTACTGATACAAAAATTTATGTAAAAAATTTTGTAAAATACCAAAGTAAAATCGAAAACTCAAAAAATTCATTCTAAATTAATATTTTTTTTTCTTCTTTTTTTTGTTTTGGATTAAATTTATTTTTTTTTTACGTTTATAATTCGCTTTTACAGTTTTTTTTTCGTTTTTGTTATTTTTTTTTATAATATTACAAAGTTTTTTTTATACTCTATTACTGTCATCGTTTAACCTATTTTTTTTTCCTCTCAATTTTTAGTCCAATGTTTGAAACTTTTATATACAATAAGTATATGGAAGTATGTATGTATGTAAATGAGTTATAAATAAAAAAAACCATGACGAAACTAAACTAAGCTAAATAAAAACTAAGAGTATAATATAAAATCGATTAATAGATTTATATATATATATATATGTACATGTAAAAAAATATTATGTATGAACATGTTTATGTGTGCGTTTTCTTTTTTTTAGCGATGCGAAAGAAGTTCAAGGTCTTTCAATGCGTTTCTTTAAATATTTATGCAGATACATGGGTATGTATATTATATGTACATATGTATGTATATAAAACAACCACGAACCATATGAATATTTTTTGAATATTTCCTCGTTTTTTTTGGATAACAAAAAAAAAATAATAAAAAATTTTTTTGTGCTTCTTTCTTCCAAAAAAACAAACATGTAAAAGAATACCTAAATAAAATGTATATGTATATGAATGTGTGTGTGTGTATAGAAAAAGATGTTTTTTTCTTGTTTATTATTTACTTTTATACTATTATTATTATTATATGTTTTAAATATAAAAAAATGTGTTTCATTTAATTTATTGTATAAATTATTTTATAATTTTATAAAGAAAAAAAAATTGTTGAATTAATTTTGAGTTATTTTTATGGATATGTCGTACAGAGTCAATCAATAAAAATGCTTAAATGTTTATTAAAATAAAATTGCAAGAAATTCTTTAAATAAAATAAAATAAAAGTAAAATTTTAATATTAAAAATTTGCAACTTATGAAATTTAGAAATAAGTAGCATTTGTTTTTTCTTTTAAAAAATAATTATTTGAATTGTATTTGATTTTTGGAATTTAAGTAATGAAAATAGAAAAACAAATCTAGTGTTATTTTTTAGAATCATTGAACTGAAATTTAATTTTATTTATTAAATTTATTTTTGAAAAAAATAAAGAAATATCCAAGTTTAATTTGATAAAAAAAAAAATTTAATTTAATAAATTTTTCTCTATTTTCTTTGCTTTGAAGAATTTTGTTATATAAAAATCTGTATCACATTGGGATTTCGTCATGGTTGAAAGTTCAGCAGGTATGTTATTTTCTTTTTTTTTCACATTATTTTATGCAACATTTTCGAAATTATTTCGAAATTTATATAAATTTTATTGCGTATAATTAAAAATTTAATGTAGAAAGTTGTGAATTAAAAAAAATAATTTTTTTTTTTTCCTTTAATTCTTACTATACATATACTTGTACAAATTATAATTGAATTTTCAATAATTTCTGTTTTTCTGCTATTTTTTTAATAGTAATTAAAGTAAAACCGCAATTGTTAATTATTGTTAAGTATACAGAAAACAAAAAAAAAAAATTAATTATAATTACTTTAATTTTAAATAATTTGAATTAGAATTTTTTATGTTATAAAAATTTATTGACGATTATTGTGAAAATTTCGAAAATAAATGTAAAAACAGTCGGTCCCGTAATATAAGAACATCACAGGATTTCAAGAATTTCGTAGATAATATCAATATTGCAAGATTTCGAAAGCCTTGTATACAATTTTTGCTATAATTAATTTCAATTATATAAGCAAAAATTTTGCGTCTGAGCAAGTTTTCTATTCATACGTACCTTAACAAAAATTTAAAAGAGTTATAAGCACGAATGAAATTTCAACTACTTACATGATTTTGTTTAAGCTTATTGAAATTCAGGCAATAGCCTGAATTGAGTTTTAGATATGACTGCTACATGACATGAAAATCTAATGACACCAAATGACTAAAGATTCAATACAGCTTCGTGGTCAATTACAGATATCCATTTGTATCTTGATTATCCTACTAATAGCATTAATATTTTGTTTTGAAATAAAACTGGATAACTTATGAAACATAATTTTACGAAATTCACCATTGACTTCTTACATAGCCCTGTATTCTGACAACAAAAAGTAATTTTGATATTTTGAATTTATTTTGGTAAAAACCGAACAAAATAGTTTTTTAAATTATTGTTTAATGAAATTATATTTTAACCTAAGTTGGAAGTTGTTATAATATATATATATGAACATAATACGGATTGTGAGGGGTTACTTTATATATGAATCACAATTTGCGACAAGAAAAATTACTAAATTCTAAACCACAATTTCAGATTCTTTAATTGATTCTTTAATTAACACGATTAACACGAACTTAACTGTTTTGTTGCATTTTTCATTATACGTATTTATTTTAATTTCTTATGTCCTATATAACGCTTATTTTCTAACACGAACTAATTTTGTTACAAATTAGTGATTCGGGTTTTAGAGGCCCCTCTGTATACATTTTAGATATTTTAAAAACATTTATTACAACTTTGTTAAAACTACATTGGGGCATTATATTTAAAGGTAATTAAGGAAAAGTTATCATTCCTCCTGTTCATTAGTTGGTTTCATTTTTAAATTAATTTTTCTCACTAAAATTGTACGGTTCATCTCATTCTCAAATTAAAATTGATATAGACCGCTTATTAAAAACTAAACTTATTTGTCGAAATCTGATTCTAAAATTTTAATTATGAAGAATTATTTTTGTATCTCGAATTCCATGAAAAATCACTAATTTTTTTTTCGCGAAAATAAAAATTAATTTGTATATCTTATATACTATTTATTATATAATTTATATTTTTGACTTTATTATTTTATTTTTACTAAGTGTTAATAAAGCAATTAAAATCGTATAAAAAATTTATTATTATTTGCGGAAAATTTTCTATTATTTTTTCTTAATTTGTATAAAAAATTAGCCATTATTTAGGGTTGTTAATATTCATAATTTGTGATTTATGTTAAGAATTTTATATTTGCTGAAAACTATTAAAAATTTAGAATTTATGGAAAATGTGGTTAATAGCTATGTTTGAATTATTACGTAAAAATGATATATTTTTTTAAACTTTTTTATAATTTTGAGTTACCGAGCCCAATTTTTTTTTTAGAGATTAAATAATCTGTTTAAAAAATTTAAGCAAGATAGAAGATACTACGGATAATTTTGTTCAGTACTTAGTTCAGCTGTAAATTTAGTTTGCAGGACAATTATCATTATTTAAATAATTATTTGTCTTTCAAAATTTTCCGGGTTTACTGAGTATACAAAATTTAGACATAACAACCCTTATTTGGATAAATTTCTGGTTCTATACCAAAAATAAGATTTCACGTCAACTTGACTTTTTTTAAATTTTATTAAAATTCTGCAGTAATTAAAATTGATTTTAATAGTGTGTACCAAAATATCAAAGTACAAGTCAACTTGATAAATTTTTGAGGAATAAATTACGAGATTTAATCTAATTTTTACTAGGTTTAACATTAAAAATCTTTACAAAAACCATTAAAACTCTTTTTACATCTACCTTTTTAATTTTATTTCAAATTAATTTAAAATGCTATAAGAATATAATAACAGTGTTATGAAATTTTTTTTAAAATTTAAAGCCCTTACTGTCGACATTGTTTCTAAATTGTTATATGAAAGTAAATTAAAGTTTAATTATGATTATTTTGAATGATCGATTGTTTGAAATATTTAAGTTGTGTTTAAGTTATACATATGAATTTTAATAATAAAAATTTTTTAAGAGGAAATTTATGAGAATTTTTTTATCTATAATTAAAATTTCATTTTATATTATACTTATAAACGTTATACTTAACATACAATTAATAACGCTGTTAAATTATGCTCGCAATTAAATATGCTTGAATTTTAATCTTTTAGTACAAGTCGAAAAAAAAATAAAATAAAAATGCATTTTAACCATGATTAATATGTTTATATAAAAACCATATCGGTAAAATTTTGAAGGTTTTTCTTCTATAACCTACTTTTATCTTTACTAATTCATCACTATTGCGTTTAAAAGCGATATGATGTGTGCGTTTACTACAAAGATTATTACTTTTATGTAAAGTTTGCTTTTTTCTTCTTTAATAAATTTTCCTTAAAAGTATGACAACAGTAACTATTTTACGAATACAATAAGAAGAAAGTAAAATCAAAAATAATTAGCTCATATATGGTTTTTAAGTTTCTAAGCAATGTGCACACATGTATAGCTGTATGTAAAATATTTTATTACAAATTTGAATTTAAATTAATTTTTATAGCATTTATAGATTCCAATAGTAATAATAACTTTAAGAATTAAAATGTTTTTTAACGGTAGTCATCAAAATTACAACAATAAAATATATAAAATATTTTACTGACCTTTGAAATGCACTTACGATATAGTTTTACGATGTTAGTTTACGATATAGGTTTTATTGTTTGTGCTTCCGGTTGTTTAATTTTTTGTATATAGGAAAGTTTTACAAAAAAATTATGTTGGAATTTTTTTTTCTTCTCTTTTATGCATTTTATGATTTAGAATTGTAAGCAAATCATAGTAAAAATATTTTCTTGTAAATTAATAACTTATCTATATGCAAATGGTAGATTCCTAATCGACTTTGGAAGGATATGGTTACAGTTTTAAAAGCTTAAAAATTCGGATCATTTTTTCTATAATTTCCAAATTTCTTAAGGTTAAAGTATTTGAAAAATTAATATTTAGTTTTACTATTTCAGCAATGAAAATTATATTGCATTTGTTAATTTACCATTATCTTTGTATAACGCTATGTTTTACCATCATAGCGATATGGCACAAAAACTTAATGAATTAAGTTCAACTCATTTTCACAAATACTTTGTAAATAGAATAGTTTGAATTGTAATGGAACCTAAGTCATGACAAAATTTTATTTAATTGAAATTCGATGGCAACTTGCAGTTTCAATAAGTCCCGTACATAATTCTTGAAAACTTATTAACTATATACTCAACTCCGGACGGTACGACTCCAGTTAGATACAAAAAAAAATTTTCGTAAAAAATATTAATAGATGACATAATATCAAAGCAATAGAAATGATACGAATCTGGTGTAGAATTTTAATTTCTTTGAATCTACCATCCCGACCGGCATCTCGATATGTTGACGCGCTAAATTAATTTAAAATAATTAATTTATTGAATAATATTGCAAAATTAAGGAAAGTAAGGAAATTTTTCCTTTTTTATTGATTTGGACCATTCAACAAACGGAATCCATTGAGAGAGAATCCATAAAAACGCTAGGAATTGCAAAAATTATTTAAAATATCTTTTGATTTTCTATTACGCTTGTGGAGATGTAAAACAAAATGTGAACACCCATAAATTCAGAAAATTTTCCGTTTCAGTTTAACAAAACTTATTTAAACCGTAAACAATATTTGGTCCCTTACGATCGCTTTGCATCTGATATGTGTTATTGCAAATGTAGATATTTAAAAAAAATTTCCAATCATATTTGGTTCTTGGTTGTGCTGTACATATGCACATACGTGTAAGGATTTTACATTACTCAAGAAACAAGTTCAAAATTTTAATTTTTTAAGCATTTAATGTGAAACTAGTTCTTTATATACGTTTGTATCTTTATATACAAATTGGAATTATTATATAATCGTTTATACATGATATTACATATATATATATGATATATTGAATAATAGCTATAACATTCAAATTACTAAAAATCACGGGCGAAAGTTCTTATAGTTTAATGTCATAAAATAATATTCTGTTTTTATTATTGATTTTGACTCCATTCGTACATTCGCACATACATAATATGTGTATGCATATGTGTATATTTAAATTCATATTATGGCGATGAGTGTAAATCATTCTTATACGTAATATTTTTGCATATCGCAAAATTTTTTTTTTATAACCTGCTAAAAAAGAAAAACAAAAAGAATTATGGAGTATGGTGGCCTTTGACAAAATATGAATGTTAAAATCATAAAAAATAAATATGAATTTTTTTTTCAAAATATACTCAGGTGTTCTTTTATCTGTTGTATCTACTTTTTTTTTGCAAAAAATTTCTGCAAATATAAACTTTTGCTCACATATATACATTTGTATTGGTTTTTATATTTGATTGTTATATTTAGGATAAAAATGCAAGCATTTATACCAAAAATAT